AGAACACCCCCTAAGAGTGGTTTTGGAGCTGGGTTTCGTTAATCAAGCTTGGAAATCATCCTTGGAGTGAAGATCATCATCCCATAGCAGATTCTTCCCATCTTGATGAGTATGATTGCTTTGTTTGTTGTTTTCCTTTCTCTCTCTATGGAGTAGAACCCTCTCTCACTTGGGTATGAAGAACCCTAGTTCTATGTGTTAGGGATCATTGTTGTAACGACGTTTGGATTGTGATATTATTGGATTATAATCGATTGAAGTATTTTGATTGAGTCAATTGAAGCCTGATCATCTTTTATTGATTTCTGCTGCAACCTGAGATAGATAGAATCTGATTAGGTTGTTAGAGCTTCTTCAATCGGTAGTAGTGAATCGATTATACAAGAGTTAGTCGATTTACTGCTTTGTACGGGAATTCAGTTCCAGTAGTGGAGTTCTGTGTTCATAGCCTCAGCTTTCTATCCCGGTGAAGACTAGTCGTATGTCGGGTAGTTTGACTGAGAGGGCTTGGTCAACTTAAGAGATTCCAAGCTATTGTCGGATCTTCCGCAGTATAATCAACAGTAAAACAACCAAAAGTAATTACAACTGTGACCTAACTAAGGAGATAGGGGGACTCATTCCCGAGTGACTCTTCCCTTGCTTTAGAAAACCAAACCATTTCCTGCTTTCTTACTGCTTTTAGTTAAAATCACAATCACTCGACTTAGTTTGCTAGATAATAAATAATCACGGAGTAGGCAGTAGATCTAGGCCCCGGGTTGACAAATAGAGCTTGCCACTTACTGCATTTCCGGACTGCGATTGCACTTGGTCGTAGTTTGGTGTTGTGTTTTAGCGTGTCACCTATATTTTGTTATCTGCTCTTAAAAGGAAACAATGTCGGCTGACCATTAAGTTTACCTTAATTTCAACTAGCTTGTTATTCGACCCGTTGATAAGAATGTCATTTAAATACAATGTATTTATTATGTGTATTTAACCATTTTAAATTAATTGAAATGCTGAATTTCGTATGACATCAAGGTGACTTTGAAATTATTTTTTCATTTTTGAAATTCTTACATCAATGTTGATCATTGTAATCTTAATGGTTATAACCAAAGTTGTCAAACCGGTTTAAGTCGTTGAGCCAGTTAAGCAAGTAGTTTAAAGTTTAATGGTTTGATTGAGGTCTGTTGGGGGAACAGGTATAGGCCAAGGGGCAGCCCAATTGGGAAGGCCCATGGAAGATTGGTGGGGAGGCACAGACGTGGGCCATCCACGACCCAGTTATAGAAACCCAAAGAAGCCCACGAGAGCAAGGGCCTTGGGCCTGAGGGCGCGCGGTGAAGGGCCCAAATGGCCAAGGCAGCGCGCGGGACAAGTGGGATCAGACACCTGGCAAGGGGCGCATGGGACAAAAGACACCCAACGGTCGGAAGTGTACGAAAAGCTGGTCACATGATGTCATGCGCCTCAAACTCCTGACGAAGGTGTTAGGTGGTCGAGGCGCATGCGCAAGGGTTGTACGACGCATTTATGGCGAACCTGACACAAGGCGAGAGCGACGGATACCGATCGATGTCGCTCCGGATATAAATAGTGAAGTAGGTCAACCTCATTTACTCAGTTTTGCTTCTCTTACTAGAACTGTTCTTCACTCCTCTCTCTAGAGAAAAGGTTCTCACTTAGGCGTCGGAGTGCTAACGGAACTATCTGGTCCGCTAGGCGCTTGTGTGTGCAGGCGGAAGCGCGTGGAGAAGCGTAGCAAGGCGCAAGGCGTGATGAGGAGGGTTTCGGGGCATAAACAAGGTCTAACCTATTTGGGCCGTTTTACACCTTTTCTAAATATATTTACATATAAGATATAAATTTAATGACTGAAATAGAATGTACTAACTTATATCTATTAAAAACTCAAATTGTTAAATTCCATAACAAAACATACATATCTCAAGACCCACCCACCATCCCCTTGCCTCTCTCCCCCTCCCCCTTCCTCCCTCTTATTCTCTTTTTCTAATGATAAGACCCTTGATTTTGTAGAGCTCATTTTGGAGCACGACTTTGGTCAAACCTAGTCCAACCAGTCGCCCGGTAGAGGTATCACAACCTTGGTTATAACACTTGTGAATAACCATTCATAACTTGTCTATTTAATGATGTAGTCACTTAGTTGTCTATGGCTGAAAAGAAAATTGACATAACAAAAAAAAAAAGTTTGTCTGAAAAAGCATAACATAAATAGGAAACTCATGATGATAACCTTTAGTCAATATTTATTTCTTTTACTTGAGAAACAATACATATATAGCATTATCTAAACCTTAAAGTATTATGAATAATACAATAACAAAATTAGTAAGAAAATAACATTTTCCATCCATACTCTATGCAATGAAAAAATTATTTATCAACCTAGATACTCTAAATTTAGTTGAAAGACAATCTTATTCACTCAACAACAAAAAAAAACATGTCTTGTGGGTACCTACCTACCTTGCTAATGCACATGACCCCATCAACGCTTCCATGAAAACTCCCGCCCGACTTTCATGATTTGTCTTGTACTGCGTTATTTCATATTAAACTATGTAACTATGAATGATACATCTAGTCAATTGAGAAATTTTACAATGCTATATAGTATTGGTGCTACAGGGTTTTGCCTTTATGGTACAACTTAAAATTGTACATTTAAGTTATGGTACAACTTCAGATTGTACCTATACTTTTTGTACAAATTCTTTTATGGTACAACTTGTACTTGTACCTTTATGTGATGGTACAACTTCAAGTTGTAAAGTTGTACCATAACATAATGATACAAATTACTTTGTGGTACAACCTAAACTTATACATTTAATGTTATGGTACAACTTTAAGTTGTACATTAAAGCATCAATACTATATAGCATAGTAGAAGTGCTCCTAGTCAATTACCCTACTAAAATCATCTATAAAAATTGGTATTCATAAATTGTGTTCTTTAAACTCATCAATTTTTTCAATCATGCTATTATCAAGAAACTTAGGATTTAAAGATTAACCAAACTAAAACTTTCAAAAGACTGGTCACTTGCAGTTTGCATAACAATATCGTTGCTTTAATAGTTCTAAAAATCAATACCAATTTAAGAATTCTACATCACATCTACACATTCAATATGCAATATTCGAATCACTGATATTTGGGTTGCAATTTTAAAATTATTCTCCATTTATAAGAGGACATAAATTAAATTTACTATTAACCTCAAATTAAAATAATCAAAATATGAAAATTAAATATCAAATAACAAAAATTACTTTCAGGAGAGTTAGTGGGCTAGCTAACAATAGTGGAAAAGTCATATAATTTTTAGATTTTAGGTTTTTAAATTTTGTATTTAAAAAGATACTAAACATTTATTTAGTGTAATTGGTAATGATTGTTGTCTTCATTTGAAAAGACCATGGTTCAAATCTTGACATTGATGTTTTTTTCGTCTCATAAATGTAAAATAAATAATGACTGTGAAGACACAATTACCCTTTCTACTTTCACTCTCGTTGCAAAAAATTCGAAATGTTGAAAAACTGGCCACAGCTCTGCTATAATATATTTGTAGGCGGATCAATCTAATTTTAATCATTGAAATACTTTTTGAAGATTAATGATAATTTAAGTGTTGGCTAACTATTTGGTCCGAGTTATTTTGGTTTTACCCGAACCCGGACCGTATAACCCGGATAGTAAACAATCCAATCCAATTTTTTGGGCTGGGATTTGAGGTAAAAAACCGTTGAAAAACTGCCCACAACTCTGCTATAGTATATTTGTAGGCGGATCAATCTAATTTTAATCATTGGAATACTTTTTGAAGATTAATGATAATTTAAGTGTTGGCTGACTATTTGGTCCGAGTTTTTTGGTTTTCCCCGAACCCGGACCGTATAACCCGGACCGGGACCGGATAGTAAACAATCCAATCCAATTTTGAAAAACTACCCACAATTACCCTTTCTACTTTCACTCTCGTTGCAAAAAATTCGAAATGTTGAAAAACTGCCCACAACGCTGCTATAATATATTTGTAGGCGGATGAATCTAATTTTAATCATTGGAATACTTTTTGAAGATTAATGATAATGTAAGTGTTGGCTGACTATTTGGTCCGAGTTTTTTGGTTTTACCCGAACTCGGATCGTATAACCCGGACCGGGACCGGATAGTAAACAATCCAATCCAATTTTTTGGGCTGAGATTTGAGGTAAAAAAACCGTTGAAAAACTGCTCACAACTCTGCTATAATATATTTGTAGGCGGATCATTCTAATTTTAATCATTGGAATACTTTTTGAAGATTAATGATAATTTAAGTGTTGGCTGACTATTTGGTCCGAGTTTTTTAGTTTTACCCGAACCCGGACCGGATAGTAAACAATCCAATCCAATTTTTTGGGCTTAGATTTGAGGTAAAAAACGGTTTGGGACCGGATCAAAAATTGGATAAAGACCGGATAAGAGAGTTCAACACCCAAAATTTAAGAGTAATTAGCATAAACGGTCACAAATATTTGCACTTAGTACAAAACTTAACCAACTCCTACCCTTTCAGGCCTTAGGCCACTCAAATCCCCATAAGCTCAATATAAAATCAAGACTGAATTGGGACCGGACCGAGTCGACCGGGCCGGATCAAACCCGGACTGTATCCAATCCAATCTTTGATCCTTATTTTTTGGAAAAACCGAACTGAACCGGATTAATTTAAACCAATTTAACCGGACTGGACCGTATAGCACTCTCGAATCGACGTTCCTTTAGCATAACACATTGTAACGTCGAAGTAATAAGGCCTTAGTTAAACTGGGCTCATGTTGTCATGTTCCACTAGAAGAAGCCCAACCGTAAGATTATTATTCGGAAAGAGCCCAACTGTTATGAAGAGGCCCGTTCAGTTTCCCCGCCAAAAGTACACTTTTCCCGCCAAACTCACGCTCATTACCCGCTCACCATTCCCCCGGCAACTAGGGCACGAAACAATAGGGCCACATTTTGCACTTCCTACTAATGTGTTCTCACTTTCTCACCTTCAATTCGATTGAGGCGTGAAACTCTGCAATTCCTGCTGCGTAGAAGCCGTGATTCAGTCGAAGAGCTTAAGAAATGGCGAGCTTTGATGACCGGAGCAGTCACAAACGAGCTTTCCTCGAGTTCTTGGACCAGAATGTACATCTCTATCTCTCTCCCTGCGCCCCTTTGGATTTCGCTTGTTTTTTTTGGGATTTATAGAGTTGGAACAGTGACGATGAGTGGCCGAATTGATTAGGTATACAAGAACGAGATCAAGGCCATGATTGACCAGCGGCGCCGCCGTCTCATCGTCAACATCTCCGATCTGCACTCCTTCCAAGACTTCGGTCCCAGGTTTCCTACACTCATTTCTTCCCTTTCGCATTTCGAAAATTTCAAACCTAAGCTCGTTTTCATTTCGCTTATGGAGGAGCTTAGGGTTGAAGAAAGAGTATGTCAAAACCCTTTGGTGGTTACGGGTTATTAGACTTGAGTGTCTTCAGTGATGTTGTCTTCAGGAATGGGACTATAATTCTGGTGCCTTGACCAATTTGTTCTCTCTGTGAAATTCGAATTGGTCTCGACTGTGTTAACATTTACCCTTGCTTTGGCGGTGGTTTAGGATATTGAAGAATCCAAGTGAGTTTATGCAACCATTCTGTGATGCGGCCACAGATATTGCTCGAAGTATCGACCCGCTGTTCTTGAAGGAAGGAGAGCAAGTTCATGTCGGTTTCGAGGGCCCTTTTGTCTCTCGCCGTGTCTCTCCCAGAGAGCTTCTCTCTGAGTACATAGGCACCATGGTCTGCGTGGAGGGCATTGTCACCAAATGTAACCTTTTAACTTTCCTTAGCTTGATTGGATAAAATTTTGGGAGCTGATGCTAATTTAAGTTGTGCTTTTGGCTTTCATTTTGTCCAATTGTAGGTTCTCTTGTTAGGCCAAAGGTTGTGAAAAGTGTGCATTACTGTCCTACAACTGGAGACTTCACTTCTCGCGAGTACAGAGATATAACGTCTAATGTGGGCTTGCCAACGGGGTCTGTTTATCCTACAAGGGTATGCCTGAGTTACTTGAGTAGTAAGTTTGTCAAATACTTACTGGGTCGACCTTTTGATGATGGAAACATTCATAATGCAGGATGAACATGGGAACCTCTTGGTGACTGAGTATGGCTTGTGCATGTATAAAGATCACCAAACCTTGTCAATGCAAGAGATGCCTGAGAATTCTGCTCCTGGTCAGCTCCCACGAACACTGGATATTATTGTTGAGGATGACCTTGTTGATTCATGCAAGCCTGGCGACCGGGTGGCTATGGTTGGGATATACAAAGCACTTGCTGGGAAGACCAAGGGAAGTGTGAATGGTGTGTTTAGGTAAGAGTAAAGGTCCTCTATTTGGCGTAAGCTATTTTCTGGTTCTATTCTTGTGACATCTAGTTTCAGTTTTGATTAAGTGACGCTTGCTATGCAGGACCGTGCTGATAGCTAATAATGTTTCCCTCCTGAACAAATTGGCAAGTTCTCCAATTTACACTGCTGATGACATCAAGAACATTAAAAAGATTGCTGAAAGAGCTGATGTTTTTGACCTACTGGGTAATTCGCTTGCACCTTCGATATATGGGCATTCATGGATAAAGAAAGCTGTTGTTTTACTGATGCTTGGTGGAGTGGAAAAGAACTTGGAAAACGGCACTCACTTAAGAGGGTGAGTTATACTTTACTGATGCACTTACTGGAAGTGGAGGCTTCTGGTGCTGCACCAACTTGTTATTATCGTGTATATCTGAGTATTTTGATGGATTCCGGGATTGAATTCCTTTGATTCTGTTGAAAAAATGTATTTTCTCCCTTTTCAGTGACATCAACATGATGATGGTGGGTGATCCTTCTGTTGCCAAATCACAACTACTCCGAGCAATCATGAATATTGCTCCTTTAGCTATATCAACCACTGGCCGCGGGTCTTCTGGCGTGGGTTTGACAGCTGCTGTAACTTCTGACCAAGAAACAGGTAACAACGAGCATGGAGTGTGACATGGCATTCTGTTTTCTTCTTTCTGTTTCTTTCCAGAAATTCAGGTTATAGCTTCCCCTCATTCTTGAATGTTAACAGGAGAAAGAAGGCTAGAAGCTGGAGCCATGGTTCTCGCTGACAGAGGTGTTGTTTGCATTGATGAATTTGACAAGATGAATGATCAGGATCGTGTTTCCATTCACGAAGTCATGGAGCAGCAGACTGTTACTATTGCAAAAGCAGGGATCCATGCATCACTAAATGCTAGATGCAGTGTGGTGGCAGCTGCAAATCCCATATATGGAACTGTAAGCTAGACAGTCTTTCTCTTTTCAAATAATCAATAGTTTCTCTTTTCTCAAACTGCTGAAGTGAAATAATGTTTCTGGGTTGTTTGTTATTTGATGGTATGTGGCAGTATGACCGCTCAATAACGCCTACCAAGAACATAGGACTGCCAGACTCTTTGCTTTCTCGGTTCGATTTGCTTTTCATAGTACTGGATCAAATGGACGCTGATATTGACCGCCAAATCTCGGATCACGTCTTGAGGATGCACCGGTATCGTTCAGCAATAGACGCAGGCGAGGCAGCAGTTGATGATGCGAGTGCAAGATACGCAAGAGAAGAGGATGCCGAGACCGACACATCAGTATTTGTCAAGTATAACCGAATGCTTCATGGGAAGAAAACAGATAGAACCCGCAAAAGGGATACGCTTTCTATAAATTTTCTGAAGAAGTATATTCACTATGCTAAGCATAGGTTCCAGCCTGAGCTGACCGACGAGGTGGGTCAGCCTATTATCATTTGTATTTGGAATATGCATAAGAAAATCAACCTTTGACCTTTGTAGTAGTCCTCTCACCCTTTGTTGGTCCACAGGCGTCGGAACAAATTGCAACTGCTTATGCTGAGCTGAGAAATTCTGGGACAACCACAAAGGTTTGTTTCTGATAATATACATTATGATTACTGACATTATCAATATCAATGCTCTCAAATTCGACACCTGTGCATTTTGTAGACGGGAGGAACACTTCCAATCACTGCCAGAACGTTAGAAACCATAATACGTCTCTCAGCTGCCCATGCAAAGTTGAAACTAAGTAGACAGGTATTTGAGTTTTAAGTTGATCTATTCTTTATGCTTGCTATATATTTCGTCAATAACACTTGGGCGATCATCTGTAATGGATGGGAGTTGCCTTCCTTGGCCAGGTCACGAAGTCTGACGTTGAAGCTGCTCTGAAAGTTCTGAACTTTGCCATATATCATAAAGAGCTGACTGACATGGAAGAGCGTGAACACGAAAGGGAGAGGGAAGCCGAGAGAGAGAACAGAGCTCAGCGTCGCCGTACCAATCGGAACACAGCAGGAGATGATAATCAAGCCACTACTAATGCGGACGGAGACGGGTGAGTAGACAGTAGACTCCCCATATATCCAAACCACGTATTATGTTTTAGTGGACCGTTTGGACGTGGGATTTAGAGGGACGAAATCAGCTTTTAATTATCTGCCGAAGGAATTCAGAAATTCATCCATTTGGACAACGAGAAACTGTTACCAAATGGATGGGATTTGGAAATATCCCATTTCAAGATTCCAGCATCCAAACAACACCTTACTGGTTTCATTTATGTTGGCCTGATCTTGTTAGCAACACTCTGGTTTTTCATAACCCCTGCTAGACTAATTCCTCTCCATCTCATTTGCTCCTTCCTCAGCCCTGATGTAGACGCCATGGATGTAGATGAGCCTGCTGAGCAGCCCACTACAGGGATATCTACGGAAAGGTTCGTACTTCGTACCTAAGGGGAAGCCCATCATATGTAACGATGACATGATTCTCACCGCAGGAGACTGCCTGTAACTCTGATTCTTGTTCTTTTGGTTTCTGGGGGTTTTGCAGGACCGAAGCATTCAACTCAGCGTTTCTTCAGTGTATGCGGTACCAGCAGAGCATAACCATAGATGATCTGGAGAAGGCCGTTAACACAGGAGCTGCTATTTACTCGAGACCAGAGATCATGACCTTCTTAAAGGTAAACCTTCAAAATAACAAAGTAACTCTGGCGCCTAAACAGCAGCATACGTTCTCCCCCCTCTTCTTTCACTCGAGACTAAAGTCTGTCTCTTTCTATTGCTATTTTGCCAGAAACTGCAAGATGATAACAGAGTGATGATTGCCGACGACGGAAAAGTTCATTTGGTTTGATTTGCACGCCTTCAACTCCTGACGTTGCCTTGCTGGAGAAGTAACTCCAATGGCTTGTGAAAGTGGTGCCTGATTGAACGTGATCGTGTAATGTATTTGTAGCATGCTTGTTCTCCACACTGATCCCCACATTTCCTTAGCGAATTTCGCAGAGTAGGATGATCATCATTAGCAATGGTTCTCTTTGTGTCGTTAGTGACGTGGTAGAACTAATATAGCAGACTCACTTTCCTATACTCCATGTTTGTTCGATTTGTGAACAATCCTCTCTACAAAGTGACTACTGACTAGTGAGTAGTGACTGCCTAGCCCTAGTGACTGCCTAGCCCTAGTGTCTTGATCACAAATTGGTGTTTTATGAATGTTCGACGCAGCAGGTTTAGAGCCACTAAATTGAAAACCGTCTCTCATATAGGTGCGCCTAAATATTCATATTAAGATCTCTTTGCTTCCATCAAATTGAAGTAGCATGTAAATTGTAACAATATTTTCGAGTAAAAGTGGAACTAGGGATGGCAAAATTATCCATAACCATGGATATCCGCCCGAATCCGGCCTAATCGGATAGGGTAAAACCCGAACCCGAAGGACATTTAGTGGGTATGGGTAAAACCCGAACCCGAATATTGTGGGTAATGGATGGGCATGGGTTTCTAACTATCCAACCCGAACCCGTCCGATTATACTCATGCATATGTGTTTTGTCTAGAAATAATTATTATTTTTCTCTAACAGATTTTATATTTAGCATATAAATATAATATTTTCATGAAATTGTATTGTTTTAATTAATTTTCTTCATTCTAGTGAACTATTGCCGTATTTTTCCTCTTACGTAATGTGAGAATACGTGTGAATGTTAACATATTGGTTGGAGTTATGAAGAGAAATTATTATCCATGGATAATCGTGGATACCCGAAACCCGAACGGGTATGGGCATGGTTTTAATTTTCTACCCGTTTAACATGTGGGTACGGGTAAAACCCGAACTACTTTGGGTAGGGTAATGGATATGCACTATCCGTCCCCGACCCGACCCATTGCCATCCCTAAGTGGAACTTTACCTAGTTCATATTGGATCTTTGATGAACAATTTTGGATATTGTTGACATGAACTTGTAAGAAAACTAATAATTTAGATTGTTAATAAAAATATAAAATTGTTAAGAAGGTTAATGATCGTTATAAACCAATTTTCGGGAAATATTTGTGTGTTTTTCCCCTTGCAATTTTGTCCTTGTTTTTAATGATTTTCGATTATGTAATTGATTATTACTCGGAAACCCGTTAAACAATACCCAAACAAATAAGCCTAAAAAAAAATTCACGCTCATACAACCGGTCTGGTTAACCGGCAAACCAAAAGTTGAAAACCGATTTAGCAAATCCTAATTAATGACATTCAGTATCAAGGTTGTTAAACCCTTATCGGCCCCTCGATTGAATCCGGTCCGACCTTAGTCGGGTTTCAAACTGACCTCCAGAAAGCCCACCGGTCGGACCCCTAAAGAGCGAGAAGAAGAGAGAGGGAAGAGAGGAGGGGAAAGAAGGAAGGCAAATGATGAATTTTCATGGAGGTTATGTAGATTTTTATTTTGTGAGAAATAAGTTTTCAATAAATACATGTAAGATAAATTTCAGTTAAGTAATTAAAATTTTAATTACTGCCATATTTTTACATATATTTAGAAAACATGTCGGACCCAGTTCAAACTAATAAACCTCGAACCTCTGATTTGACCGACTCAATAACTTAACTCGGTTTGACCATCTTGTTCAGTATCCACTATCCACTATCCAGTAGGTGACCTATTTAATGAATCAACCGAACTAGCTATTCTTCCACCACCATATTTATGGATTGCCCTGCACTCCTGCAGTCTGAAGTCCGAACTCCCATCAGAGAGACGATTCCATTTGCTGAACGCGAGCAGCCTTTTCATTGACTTCCTGAACATCCCAGGAAGATAGCAGTGCAGCACAATGCTTTGTGGGATTTGGCTTTGCTTGCAGAGTCTGTCTGACACTGAACAGAGCATCAAATCAATTAAAAGATCTTTTCACCTCCTTCTCACCTGGAGCTTCTCAACATAAATATACAACCACCCACAACTCCATGGAAGAAAGCAAACAAGAGAGAGAGAGGCGAAGTTTGAAGCTCTTTTCACCTTCCGACGAAATGGAGGAGGAAGGCGGCCGGCGGTGGATGTTCAAGGTGAAGACCCCCCGTTTTTCGACGATCATTGTGGACGATTCAGCTCGTGATGAGAAGCTGGTGAGTTTCTTTCGTTTCTGCATTTAGCAGACCTCGGTTAATCAATGGGTTCCGTTTTCTTATTTTTGCTTTCTACAAGCCTGCTTCGTGCTTTACATTCTGAGAAATTGTTGCTTTTGATCTCTGTCCTCTTCTTCGCACTTCCCCCACTTTCTTGATTTGTGTTCTTCGTGAATCAATTGCAGTGCCTCCCTAAGTTGTTTACAGCAGAGTATGGAGCTCTGCTGCCAGAAAATGTGATTTTCAAGCTCCCAAGCGGAGCAGAATGGCGAGTTGGGTTGCTCAAAAGCGGCGAAAAGATCTGGTTCCAGGAGGGTTGGAGAGAATTTGCTGATTTCTACTCACTAGCATCGGGGCAGTTGCTGGTTTTTCAGTATGGTAGCCATGGCCATTTCCTTGTTCTCATATTTGATAAGACCGCCCGTGAAATCGATTACCAGACCCATGAAACTAGTGTGAGATTTGAGCCAGAGCCGATAATAGATATCTCTGACGATACCTCGAATGATCGCTGCCCTTCCCCAAAAGCAAGAGAAAACCCGTCAGTAAGAGCTCCCCAACCCAAGAAGCTGAAAAGAAGAATCGATGATGAAAGGACCGAGAGAACCTCTGAGACTATTATCTGCCATGGTTCCACTTCTAGAGTGCAAGGTCTGTCCATCAAAGTTTGTCCTCCCATGTCATTGGTTAATACGTTTTCTTAAGGCTTTCCCAACTATTGTTTCATTACTCAGATAAACCTAGTAAGAAACGGCGTGGGGAATTCCAGAAGGAAAGACCATTGGCAGCTGACGAGAGAGCTAGTGCACTTACTAGAGCGATTTTTGCTTTCCAATCGAAGAACCCTTTCTTCATGATTGTTATGCAGCGATCGTATCTTGGCCCTGGAATGAGATTGGTAATTCATTCATTATGCTCTTCTTATGTTAGTAAGTTCAGCAGGTCTATTGTGGTTCTAATGTCCCAAGTTCCTCTATTTGTTTGCTGTTCTATTTGCTTCTTTGAATGCCAGTATCTACCTATCAACTCTGTGATGACAAAATTGGAGGAATGCGGAGAGATTCAACTCCAACTTTCTGATGGAAGATCCTGGATGGTTAAGTACTTTGCCGTGGATGCTTGTAATAAAAGGAAGATCAGAACTGTGTTTGATAGCCGAAGTTGGGGTCGGTTTGTAAAGGAGAACGAGTTGAGAGTTGGCGATGTATGTGTATTTGAGCTGGTTGAAGGCGGTGCTAAACCCAGACTGAAAGTGATCATCTTTCGAGCTCCCCAAGATGCGAATCCCTACTCGTCTGTGTCGTCTCCTCCTAAGCTTCGGAATGGAATGAAGTCAAAGTCTGCTGGAAGAAAATCATATGGCAGTAGTGGTGGGTATTGGGAGTTTGGCAAATAATTACATGATGTGCTAACTCTTAGTTTCAACTATGTGCAGCCAATGATAAATCCTCTTTACCAGTTTACCTCATGTTGTTTAAAACAGGTGCTTCAAAAACTGCAGATGCCTTTACCTCCAAGCAACCATTCTTCAAAATACGTGTAGCTGATAGTCATCTAACCATGAACAAGGTGGTAAGTTCGCCAATCATTGCCAAGCCACATTTTTTTTATTATAGTCATGTTACTTGTTTCCTTCATCTCTTCTCTGAAATGGACTGCAGAAAATACCAGCGGCATTTCGTGAGCATGTCAAGGGAGTGTATGATGAAGGGGAGTTAAGGGTTGTTGGAGGCAAATGGTGGGATGTAAGGATTGGAAGGTATGTGCTGAAAACTGGCAGGCAGGAAAAGGTACTGGCTAGCGGTTGGAGGGAGTTTACAGCAGGGAATTCTCTGGCACTAGGAGATGTCTGTGTTTTTGAGCTTGTTAAGCCAGAAAATGGGGATCCCATAAAGAGGGTGATAAAGCTAAATGTGCATATCTTCCGAGGGATTCGTAGTCAAGTCCATTCAGATTAGGCACCCTTTTCTTGTGTACCCTGACCTAAATATCTCCCTTCTGTTGCCTTTTGCTAATCTTGTTCGAAAACTGCAGGGCTGATATATAATTAGTATGAACTTTTCTGATTGTTAGCCTGCTTTTGTATAGGGAGAATGCAGCCATTGATAGGGCAGGAAACCTTTGCTGATATCATATTTAGCAGCAGTAGTCATTGTACTAACATTATCATGTGACTGCAGAAGTTTCAGTTAGGGAATTGACTCATGTTGGGAATCATCCTACGAAGTTGTGGAAATCTACAGATGCGTGTAACATTGAACACTTGTAGTGATATAAAATATTGCATTTTCCATCTGTAAGTTGAAGATTTCTTGGTGGTTCATATTACAAGCTCTTGAAAGAATGAAAAAAGAGCTGACATTTTCATTTGAGCTACCCATCAATTTGCTAGACAAAGCAGGCGACCAGAGTAGCAATGGCAGCAAGTGTGGCGGCTGGGAAAGCAAGGTTTGTTGTGGCAGCGCTTTGCATTTGAGGGGAAGGTGCCGCTGCTCCCGAATCTTGAGCTGCAACTGCCGAGCCTCCAAACCCAGCGATGAAAGCCAGGAGAACCATGATGTAGACAATGCAAGCCATGACGTTTCTCTTGCTAGCAGCTACCATCATGGAACTCTGCCAAACTTCCAAGCTGAGTTGAAATGGCAGTAGAAGGGGAGGAATAAGACGGTTTTGCTTTTGGGTTGTGCAGATTGAGAGCAAATATGGGTTCTATTTATGGAGTGGGTTCTCTGTGGTTCCCAGTCTTTCGTAGGGAGAATCTTCGTCCAGCTGTATGTTGGTTCAGTAGCAAAATACAACAAAGCATTATAGATGTGCTGGGCGGCAGAGATGAAGCAATGATTATAGACTAGCTGCCTGGCTTATTAAGGGCTGTCCTCTTTTGCTTTACTGCCTGGCTGCGGTTGGCGCCTTGGACTTGCGATGCAAGCAATTATATGGGTTATGCATGGCTCTGTTCGCTATATAAAAGATTAAATTCTAGAGCGTTAGAGTTCGTCCTAAAATTACCGATCCTCGTCCCAACTGCCGCTGTCTGTCTCGCTGCCGCTGCAAAGAAGAACATGTAAAAAACTTAGAATTATGAACTATGTTATTGCTAATTGAAGATGCCGACTCTGGTGATCACAGCTGGCTTGTAGCTGACTGTGAGCTTTGTCAGATGACATTCTGTAGTCTGTAATAGGGTTTTGTTTGCAGCAAAGTGTAACATGGACACTATCATCCTCATATCACTAAATATGACTTTCTGTAAAATTTTCGAAATTGTATTGAATAATTTTGAGTACATGTGTGTTGCGGGTTAATGACAAACAAGGTAATCTGGATTTTCCTACACCTATTTCAATAATTTCTGCATAAAATTGGGGATCTAAAGGAAAAAAAGTAAGGAAGAGAATCTCCATCTTGTCTCGTCTCGAGCCAGTAACGCCACTAAGCCAGTCTTCAGAATTTTGAGCACAATCCTCAGCTCCAACTTCAAACACTGTTAGGAAAATAGAAGGGTTTCCTCTTCTTCTCCCCAAAGTTCGTCGTAAAGAATATGCTTTCATCTTTATCCCCTTTGTCCTCTGAAATGGATCCGCGAAGCAAAAGTAATTTTCTGAGTTTTCCTTATTTCCAGACCATCTATACTCTGTGTATGTTCAACAAAGAAACACCTCTCTATACTTTCACCCCTTTTCTTCCCTTGCTTAGGCCTGCATCAAGATTCAAGCAAGAAATGTTGGCATATGTATGAATCTAGATTATAGGTTCTAGGGGTAAGAATAGTTCAAGGACTTACAGGTGAATGAGGGATCTGAAGAAGAATAAGTGAGAAACAGTACAAAAACAAAGAAATTGCAGCTCCAGCGATAACATTGTAGAAAAGCCGTCGGTTATCTTTCGTTGGGACGAAAACCGACTTCAATGTGTTTGTTAAGTCAAAAAGCCGATGGGAAACCTGGAAGCAAAGACCGCTGCTTGATTAAAAATCAAGAATTCATGTTGACCACAGCAAGTTATATACATTGAGATTTAACTTCTGCTTACCAGGACGTAAATGGCAGTTGTGAGCATGAAATTCAACAATGGGTATCCTGGGACGAATGATAAAAGCCACTTAGGCTGTCCATTGGGCATGTTGGATCTAAAGCATGCATAAGAAAGTCATAAGAAACTCCCTTACTAAATAGCTACGAAATCGGAGAAGACTTAAGTGGTCATTCAGTGTACAAACCTCAACCAGATATGGAACTGTGAGATATATGTTTCCAAAGTTATCTTCCCAAGCCAGCTATAAACCGGAGTCCCAAACAAAGCAAAAAACAAATGTAATCAGAGAATGTCCAAAAAAGTAAATAGTAAAGTTTGTTGCATGTAAGTAACTTACGCAAAGAGAGTTAAAGAGCAACCCCGGAGCTGGTGAGTGAAATTCCTCAGGGAAATGTATACACTGGCATTAGAATAAGGCAGATGCAACAATGAGATATTTGAAAGAACACTACATAACGGAATTATGTCTTTTTTGTATGCAGAAAACAAAAGCTAAGTCCTTGATTGATACATACGTGATGGGAATCCATGATGTGTATGGGTGGAACTTGTTGTAGGTTACCTTGTCCATCTTGTAAATATATTCATACCACATATATCCCACCTACAAGAAGACAGGGTAATGGTTAATGACATAAAAAAAAAACAACTTGTAATTAACGAGGAGCTGAGAAGCAGATTATGGTAGGAGCAACTCACAAATACAGTAACTGCCACTACTCCCGTCTTGATTGAGAGTTTCTTCTTTGTTTCAGCTTCTTCCAATTTCTCCATCCATTTCTCAACCTGAGAATTTTCACAGCAGCGTGTAAGAGAGATGGTGAGCTTAGATAGTAAAAAATGGACATAGATCCTTTATCCAACAGAGATAGAACACTCACAGTCGGGTGATAATAAGCATATATCATTCCAATGATCCATATGTATCGATCAAGTCCAGATCTGAAATGCCATTCATGGATTCTAGGGAAATCAGGTTTTGCAGGATCAGTGTACCCTACAGTAGGAAAACAAATTAACTGTAATTTCACATCCAGACCTCAATGCCTAAAAAATTCCACAGGTGTGTAAACCACATTAGCTGGGAAGTGAGAACTATTCTCCATTGAAAGATAAGGAGAAAATGTGTTAATGAGAACAAACCTAACATAAATGTTAAAGGACTCCATAGGATTTCAAAAACCCCAGGGATTTCCCAGATGAAAATTACAGCAAGGAAGCAGGAAAGAAATTTCACTGCCATCACCGAACTGTTTTCGTTGTACTTGTTAAAGATACCCAGGGATCCGTATACCATCAAAGTGAAAAGTGTATGCATTGGGCAGATGTAGTACAACATGTAGTCATTGTTAAGAACAATACAGCAGAACACCACAAAGAAATTAAGCCGCCACATCATCTGCACCAGATAGTTCAAGATTCAGAAGAATAGATCAGATAAGATAGAATGCAACAGAGAAGAATACTTGTGGTAGTTACAGAAAGAGTTAAACCTTGATAGAAGTAGAAACAAATACCTGAGCAAAGCGTGCTATGCTGAAATCTTTTCTGATGTAATAGTAAGAGAAGTTTCCAAACCCAGTCATCCAGACATAAGCAGCAATGAAGACTCGTATTGCATTGTATATCTCTGCCGCGGCGAAGTAATGATACATTAAGAATAGGACCTGTTAAACCAAACCAAATATTTTGGCTTGAGAAAAAATCAAGCTATAACACCAAACATGAACAAGATAATCATCAACATAGTCAATATGTTGTTACTAATATACAGTCAACGACAGGATTCGGTTGACTCAAACCTAATCTACTTCATTCTGGTGGAGAAGAAACTAACATCTTATTTTATTGTCTTAAAACTTGCTTGGCAGCTTCTAACACCGGACGAAGGATGATCCACTAACCATCACAAGGTTATGGAAGGGGGGATTCAAAAACCGTTAAATGACATGAAGAAGCACTGTTCACTACCAAACCTAAATAGAGGAAGCAAAATGGAAATGAATAAGTTTGACATGTAGAACATCACATCAAACTCTAAAATAAGTGCATTTTTAAAATTGGTGTATGAAGCTACTAAATAGAATTAATTATTTGCTACAATTTGATAGGAAATAATACTGGCCTGCATCCATCCTTTCCACTCCTCAGTCTGATGCCTGTTCAAGTACATAATGGATTTCCCGGAGAATGCTGACTTGTCACTATGCTTCTTAAAAGAAGTCATCGCTGATACTATAATGAGGATAATGTAGAGAAAGATAAAGAGGTCGCGGTTGTATGTCTGTCCAAAGAACAACAGAATAAGCAGATGGAGTCACAACAGTGTCCAGCATTAGCAGTTCATAGACCACGCAAAAGAGTAATGTAACGTCACTTTTGAAGGAGATGACAGTAACAGTACCTTAGTAGAATCTGCCAGCAAATTTGTGCGATCACATATGTAAAAATACACTAAAAGTGCCCCAAATTCAGACCTGCAGAAGTTTTTCTGGTTAGAATTTAGGATAGGGGGAACTAAGGAACAAAGAACATGGACATTGAAAAATAAACTAGTATCACTTACATTGCTCTCAAAGTTGCTCTGTTTTCCAGCAAAAAAGCATCATCCATGGTCAAGAACCTGGTAAATTATATGTGCAGAGGGTAAGAAAGAATTCAACTAATGTCAAAATACAATTGCCAGGATAACAACACATCCTAGAATTGAACCTGATTAAATTCATTTTAATAGATGAAACATGGAATTTCGTCGATGCTGATCTTGCAAGACCTCCTTCCAACAATACTGCTCGCTCGTCTTCTTTGACAGCATCCTTCCCCAATTCATCAAGGTTATTGTCTGAATGACTGCAGTACGGACAGCTAAGTTGTCAGGGTCAAGGGAAAACAAATTAAGAGGACGATAAGACCAAATTTTATGACTAGGATATGGGGAGCCAATATGTATTCTCATCCAGCATCAAAACATAAAACTTCTAGGGGACTTTAACTATTGCACCCAAACAGCTGAACTTTAGCAAATTTGCTCTACAACCTATGCCGGGCTTCCACGTAAGCTGCATCCTGAACTCAACAGAAAACAAGCTAGCAGCTGTACAAGCAGCATCATTATCTGCTCAATCGGATAATACAATGACTGCACTTACACTTTGGCAGGAGCTGAAGACTTCTTGTACTCCAGGAACTCTGAGTATATCCATGCAGTAAAGATTGGGATAAAACCAAGCAAAAAGGACACCTGTGTCGCAGAAAGTAACTTTCATATATATACGCCAACAAAGCTAAGCACACGACACCGACCTCAAATATATCATCAGAATGAACAATTCCTAAAGACTCAATTTCATATTTAATCAATCAACAGCAAGAAACAAACCAACACATAAATGAAATGAAGGAGCTGTTCAAAAAACAAACATTCAAACTTCAGCTCTTCTTGAACATTAAAATTTGAGTTGCCAAAGATTTCACATCCACCATTAGCTTTGATAACCAGAATAAATTCCTTAAACTAGTAAAAAAGATAAACATGTCTCAAGAAACGTTGCCAGGGGAACAAGCATAGCAAATCTTAATCTAGGGATCGATGCAAAAATGTTGAATTCGAATTCCAAGAATAAGCAACTGGAAGCCAGAGTTAGCATCAGCATGAGATCAGACTCCAGCCCTTGCACATGGCAGCTAAGCAAAGAAAGGTTACTTAGAGCAAGTTCCTTCACTAAGCAAGGCAAGCTGAGCAGTCATCAACTCACAAACACTTTTCAGACGGAAATAAAACTATGCCACTTCAGGGGACAAATTCCCCTAAAAAGCTCTCCTTTTTAAAAAACCCTGTCACATAATGAGTCCCGCCACAATCCAAGCAGTAATTGAAATTTGATCAAGGAACCGCATTGTAGTAAACCACAACTGAACTGAACTTCAACCCATCACATTTCAGAGAAGAATTCCAAAATCGAAAAGATCAAAGTAGCAGTAGCAGGCAAGAATGACAGGTGCGCACCTGCCCAGGCGTAACCGGCCCCGACACGGCCACCATGTTTGTGATCCGTACACTGCCAGAATTCCAAACAAAAGAGAAGAAAAGGCGAAATTCCAATCAGAACCCAAAATGCAAATCGCCCAGAATTCTCCGATCGGAATCGATATTCAGCAGAAGAGTAAAGAAAATGAGAGAAGATGGTACCGGTGAGACGGAGGAACGCGGCGGGAAAGAGAGCGAGAGTGGCGCGGAGACGACGAGGGTCAAACGAGTGAGGGAAAGAGTGATCTATTAAACGGCATCTGAGAGGTAGAGAGAGAGAGAGAGAGAGAGAGAGAGATCTGGTGAGAGGTAAAGAGAGAGAGGGGCAGAGTTTGCTTGAAGAAACAGGAAGTTCGTTTGTTGAATTAACAAAGGGGGGGAAATTGGCGGAAGTAGTAGACACGTCTGCTTCACTGCGGGCAACAATGGTGGAAATCGTTTGATTAGTCGAAGCAGTTGATGTTGTTGCTGCCAGTTGGTGGCGATGGGGATGGGAATAAGGATTATGGGGGACTGGGGAGTCCTTTTCCGGCTGGTGAATTTGGCCTGTCAATGCTGGTGAAAGAGAGTCATCAATGGCACCAGCAGGCAGCAGCGGCAGCAGCAATAACAAAACACAACCAAGAATATTCAGGGAAGGAGGAAGGGAAAATGTAATTTAACCGGATCATTAACTTATCAAAACAAGAAGAAAACCCTAAAAAAGATTTTAAGTTATTAGTTTCTTATTAGTGAGAGATCTCATATTCTAGCATATGTGAGCATTGAGTAGTTAAGACTTAGAGTTTTATGAATTTAAAATTTATAACTTTGAAAATTAACGGGATTTGAAATAACAACTAATAGTTAGGAAATGGCTAAATTACACATTTGGTCACTCGAATTGCATAAATTTTTCACGTTTGCCACTCGAATTACTTTTCTTTCTGATTAACCACTAACTTTACAATTCGTTTCACCTCTAGTCATCGACCGTTAGTCTCCGTCAAATTCCGTTAACACCGTCAAATTTTTGATGATGTGGCAAACAGAGTGCTGACTGGGCTGGCAAAAATTGTATTTGACCTCCTAATCAGCACAATCCGACCCAACCAAAAAAAACTATAAAACAATAAATAAAAAAACCGACCCACGCCCTCACCAATGCTTCTTCTCCTCTCTCGATTTTCCCAGGGAGAGTGGGAGTCTGGGAGACATACCCTCCCTTGTTTGCATTTGATCTCATCTTTTCTCGTTAGCGTATCTTCACTAAATTTTCAGATCCAAAACCAATTTCTTCTTCTTTCATTTTTTCCCAAAACCCCCAAATCTTATCTGCCGCTGTATCACCGTCGGAGTTGTTTCTGCCAGGCCAGCGTCGAGCAACTCTTTTCTGCTCTGTTTTTTCTTCCCCCTTTGTGAGACACAGCGGAAGAGAAAACAAGGATATCGTCGACCTCGAAGCGGAAAAGGGAAAGGAATAACAGTGTCTCATTTCTCTTATTCTGCATTCTCCGGCATCGATTTTCAATAGAATTTATGTGCTCTATTCGCGCCATCGATCGAATTCGGGGCTCTCCCATCTCTGAACCCATTCTAACCGGTTGAAACTATTGAGATCTTGGATGAATAAGATTGACCTATACTACCTGGTTGGGCTTTCAATCAGGTTTTCTGGTTTGATTTTCCTCCCGAGAAACGTACAGAGGATTGCTAGTGCTCTGAGAAATTTTGAGCTTGACTTCGATTGTGCATGCACCCTTCTCTCGAGATAATTTATTTTTATTGAATGATCTCTAGGCAAGGGGAGGAAACCCTAATTACCACGATGGGGAACGATGAGGTCGACGCCTTGAATGTGAATGTGGGATTAGAGGTAAGGTAAGGTGGGATTGATGAAATGAAATGGAGATGAAGCTGAATGAAGATTAGAGGCAAGGTAGGTAGAGGCGCAGGCGGCAGGAGGCGGGTGTTCCCCTGGGAAAATCGAGAGATGGGAAGAAGCATTGGGGGGTATTTTTTCTTTGTTTTTGTTTTTTTTTTTAGGTCGGATTGTGTTGACTAGGCGATCAAATAGCATGACTCATCCTTTTTGTCAGCTCAGTCAGCACTTCCGTTAGCCACGTCATCAAAAAATTAACGGTGTTAACGGAGTTTGACGGAGACTAACGGCCGGTGACTAGTGGTGAAACGAATCGTAAAATTAGTGGCTAATAAGAAAGAGGAATAATTTGAGTGGTAAACGTGAAAGATTTATATAATTCGAGTGACCAAACGTGTAATTTAGCCGTTAGGAAATTATCTCAATTATGTTAAAAGTTACATTGATTGAGAAACGAGAAGTCTGAACAATCATGATATTTAGACTATCATAAATTTAATCAACAAATGAGAATGATTGATGCATTCATACTTCCGGCGGGGCTAATTAATATTATTAGTTATTATTATAATAGTAGTAGAGTTAGGAGATAATTATGGTAGTCTTTTAGTTAGGATTGGCTAGGAACTGGAGTTGGCGGCCACTACTTGGCCGAGTAGTTTAGGGTTAGTCATTAGGTTTAGGGTTTGTGTTTCGTTATATATATGTACTTTGTTTCTCCGTATTAAGAAGTCAATGAAGAAGAAAACCCCTAATTTAGTTGTTTTAGTTTATTTATCGTTCTTGTGTTGCGATGCTTGATCCGTCAATGCATCAATGATGATACGTGAAATTGAGGTATTCATGGTTGGATATGAATTTGAGTTTGTGAAACCTGAAGAAAATAAAATCAACCAAATATTTCATCCAAAGTTGGATGTTCATCCATGAGTGTAAGCAGCAATGAGAATTAGTTCTGGTTTATTAAACTGAACCAAATTGGATAGTTCGATGAAATTGACCCAATGAATTGATGTCGTAAAGATTGTTCTAATGATCACTTTTGGTTAAATATAAATTGGTTCAGTTTGATTTTTATCTTAAGTAAGGCCAGGTGTCTACAATGGATTTGATTTTCTATTTGAAAGCACAAGTCACTAGAGAGTGGATGCAAATTCATCATAGCTCTAGTCATCACAAACGCTTCTTCAAAATTATTAGACTCGCCTCGTATAAGTTAGTCAATAATGACTCAATTAAATCGCGTTCGACTCATCTATAAATTATAGATCGACATCATACATGATAAAAGGACACATGCAGATGCACTCCATGCATGGTGCAAACATATAACTTGTGAGCATCAAGTTTCTCACGTAGATAAAATTATTTTATTTGAATGGGTTAATACCTTATTTTGGCCCGAACTATGACCATATAATCAACTTTGGCATGTGGTTTCAGAAATTAACATGCTGGCATCAACTATGCAGCATATAGACTCAATTGGCCTGACACATAGTTTGACCGTGATTTTGGACGGTCAACTCTGTTGACCGTTAGTCAACATGTCATGTCATTGCCTAATCAGCCTAAAAATCATTAAAAAAATTCAAATTCAAATTCAAATTATTTTCCTAATTTCTATTATTTATCAATTTCCAGTTAACCAAAAAATAAAATTCTAAAAATATAAAATAATTTTTTTGGGATATTTGAAAATGATAAATTTTATAAATTAACCAAAATTATCAAATTAAATTTTATAAATTTAAAAATTATGATATAAATTATATTTTTTGGGAAGTTTTAAAAATATAAAATAATTTGATGATTTTTGGTTAATTTATAAAATTTATCATTTTTCAAATTATCCAAAAAAATAAAAAATATATTTTATTTTATGTTTTTTATAATTTATTTTTGGTTAATTTGATAATAAATAAGAAAAATTAGAAAAATAATTTGATTTTTTTTACTGATTTTTAGGCTGACTAGGCAATGACATGGTGTGTTGACTAACGGTCAATGGAGTTGACCGTCCAAATTGACGACCAAACTATGTGTCGGGCCAATTGAGTCTATATGCTGCATAGTTGAGGCCAGGATATTAATTTCTTAAATCACGGGCCAAAATTGATTATATGGTCATAATTCGGGCCAAAATAAGATATTAACTCAGTTTGAATATTTAAACCACTTCCAAACATCCTCTAACCCCCTGTTTCCGAAGGAAGGGAGGAAAATGGAGGGGAGGGGAAGGAATTAGGAGGGGAGGGACAATTTGGAGGTTAAGGAAAGTGGAAGGAAAATGGTGTTTTATGGAGGAAAGTGGGAAAGAAAATTTGTATTGGGAATTGTGATAGATATATTATTTTATTGGGTATATAATAGTAAAACAATTTGATTATATGTTAATATTATTTTCATTTGTTATGAATTATGAATTAAATTTGTAATTTTTACTAATTTTGTTCACTATCAAAAATAAAAAGTATATGATTTGATTTTTTTTAAACCTATTGTTAAAATTTTGTTTGCTATTTTATTGATTCATCGATCAAACCACACTTTATTAAATCGATATAAACTTATTGTATTTCGATCGAACCACACTTTATTAAATCGACATAAACTTATTGTACTTCGATCAAACCATGTCACTTACTAAACCGTCGCAATGGTTAAAATCGATTTGACAACCTTTCAGCATAAATATTCTATTGCTAATTTTTCCGATACAACCTCTATTACACATAAAAACTATTAGGAGATTAACTATCTATCATAAAAAATTGTACGGTCAAATATCTTAACCTTTTATTCCCATAGGCGGTCAAATATTGACTATCAATTAATTATAAGTATGACATTAAAAGGAAAGAGAATAATAAAAGATAAGCATGGCTTTAAAATTTCATAAAAAATTAAAATTAAAATAAGCTTCCTACCTAGTTTATCACCATTCCCCAACGTAACTTCTAACAAAAAATAAATAAAAAATTGGAGCAGCCCACCAAAATTGTCTTTCCTTCCGATTCTCTCCAATTTGAGAGGGACGTTTGCACAGTGAGTAGTCCACACCATTTCCCCTTGTGAATCGCTATTTGCCGCCCGTTGTTTTACTATTTGCCGCCCATGGTTAGGACAGAAAAGACAAATGTGCCTCTTCCCCCCTAACCCTATCTATCCATCTCCTCCCCCTCCCACCCACCCCCACCCCATCTGCTCTCTGTCGCCAAACGACCCCCCACCCCCTCTGTCGCCGACGACCCCCACCCCCTCTGGTTCGCCGTCGACCCCCACCCCACCGCCGACGAGCCGCCGCCGCCTTCCCCTTCCTCTGCTCTGCTCGAGGTAAATTTTTTTTTTTTTAAAACAGTATCGCCGCCGTCTGCCTGGCCTGAGCGGACGCGGTCCGCCTGGCCGGAGCGGACGCGGTCCGCCTGGCCGGAGCGGACGCGGTCCGCCTGGTCGGAGCGGACCCGGTCCGCCCGGTCTGGTCGGACCCCGTACGCCCGGTCTGGTCGGACCCCGTACGCCCGGTCTGGTCGGGCCGGTTGAATGAGTTTCTGATTCGGTTTGAATGGTTCGGTTTAAAGAAATATTTATTAGATTTATTTTAAATACAATTGTTAGTATATTAATTAGTTTAATATTGATAGTTGATTAATTTGTATATAATTATAATTGTTAATTAATTATATAATGCGTTAGTTTATTAATTGGGTAAGTTGAAATAATTATAATTGTTAATTAATTATATAATGTGTTAGTTGGGTAAGTTGAAATAATTATTT